TCCACTGAATAGCTACAAATCAAGGCTAATTCGAGAATTTCAAGGGTACGAGTGAGGTTCAACGGAGGATGATGGAACGGCAAGATGAAGCTGGAAACGGGACAACCGTTTCGCGGTCAATTGGCCACTTCACCGAAACAAAGGTTATTTATTATCAGGTCTTTCATTTTTTGTATCTTCTCATTGGAAAAGTCGCACTTTTCCACAGTATGTTGATATTTTCAGAGAGAATTCATCCGACTAAATTAAAAACAACAAACTACACTAATATCCGTGAAGTGACTGAATTATATTCGGATATAACGATCATTTGATCCTGTTTACCGATCGAATATTTACCTTTGCGGTACCTACCTGATGTATTTATCGGTACTTATAACCTTAGCTCAGTCATCCTTATGTCATATACACACTGTCTTTTTCATTTCTCTCAAACCATCTGTCAATGTCACTCATCGTCTCGAATACTTAAGTGGTTTGCTGGACGAAAAATTGTTTGAAAAGCCGATTCATTGAATGTTTTATTCGAGAATTAATCGTGAAATCTTTGGATGTTTACTCAATTCGTATTATTCATACAACACAACGTCAACATAAATTGACTAGCGCCAGTGACCACTGTCCACACAGAGTATATAAATCGACTTCACCCATATACCTCACCTCATTTACAATGACCACTTCTGTAGCTGGCAGCAACGATTCTCGTGCTATCTTCCCTTCATCTTCATTGTTTTCTGTTCTAGCACTTTTCAATATCCTTCCATCAGTAATCGCTTCATTCGGAACGATTCCAGAACCTCAATTTATTAACTATCAAAACTTCGCTACACATCACGGAATTCCATCGCCCTCGATCGGTCCCCAATTTGCTTCCAATCATGGAACGTCACCTCCATTTCATTCCTTTGGCGGTCTTTCCACTCCAACACACGGCGGTCAGTTTCCGCCCTCGCCAATTGCCCACCAGCCCGACTATCAGCCATTCGGCGTTCCGCACGGATTGCCTCATCCGCAGGGCCTGACACCACCTCCATTCCCAAAGGTTCATCAGATATTTATTTATTTTCTCAAATTGCTTCGACTCCCCACGATTTTGCGCTTTGAATTCATTAGAATGACTGTACTGGTCGTGAGTTAGAATGACTGAATTAGGATGAATTTTTTGCTAATCTTATCGACACAATTTTGCTCACAATCAATAGTTTGTTGCTCCCAACATTAACAAGGCAAACCATATCAGGAGATATTTGAGCTGCATAACTCCCACTTCACATACCACCACTAGTTGAAAATAAGTCAGTTGGAATGTTCAAAGTGGAGCCTACGAATCGACTGCAAATGGGAATGTAGAACGTGAAAATTTTGCTTTTAGGATCTCCCACCAGGCTTCGCCGATGTTTTACCGACAGAAACGGTTGCGAAGCTTAGAGCTATTCATCAAAATGATAACTTGACGTGGCAGGTTGGATTTCTTGACCGTTTGCTCACAATCAGCTACGGCAAAGTTTTGCATTATGGATCGGGAATGGTGTAATCAAATCGGAGAAGCTGAAACGTTACTTTTGAAATTTACAGCAGAAACACCAGCAAATTGATGCGATAATGAACTCTCTACCACCCGAAATACTCGATCGGCTACCAGCTCCACCAGGCTTCAGTATGTTACCAGCTGAAATACAAGCCAAATTCAAGGCCATTCAACAACACAGCGGTCTGAACTGGCAACAACGACATGCGAAAATTCTCGAAATCATGCAATCGATGACACCCGACCAAAGAATGTTACTTCCGCCTGCTCCACCGTCATCGCCTCCGATGTGAGTAGTTCATTGGGTTGAAAATATTTGCTACTTTCTTTGTTCTTGATAAATCTGCAATTGTGATAAATATGGTGACTGTAAATGATATCCGATGAAAAGGCTGGCCAAATGCTAAACGCGTAAATTAGTAATTTTAAGAAAGCATTGAGATTAATAACTCAAGGTTTTTATGAACATTTTGGTGCATTTTTATGAACATCATGGATTCATCAACTTATAATTATCATCTTAAAGACACCCTTTATCGCTTGGCAAAAAGGAATTCAAGAAGTGCCACAATGAATCGCAGCGATGATCTGTTTCTCGAAGATCTGTTAATCGCTATCGTTGAACATGCTACTCTTTTCAATTTTCAGGTTCCACTTCCCACCACGTCTCTAGAAGATCTCCACCTATAGCAACAACGATCACATCTAAGCATCGATCAGCAGTCAACTACAAAGCAGCATGAAATTGAGCATAACAATACGAAATGATCATTCAATATTCACCTTATTTCAGTCTCAACAAAATTATCTCTCCATGTCTCTGAACTTATTGATGTTTTACTGAACTGATTTGGTTTGTCTGCAAAAAGGAAGGAATACGCGAAAGCATATCATTCTTTGATTAACATTCGAAGCTCGACTGATAATCACATATAAAAGTTTCAAGAGAAATTCTCCTCAGCAAACGCGGTAAATCGTGATCTCAACCCGGCAAGTCCTGGTCCAGCACCGCAAAATTTGGCTCGGCTCAGTAAATGATAGCGCGGAACTCTTGGTCAAAGCTACGAAATCTTCGTCTGATTCAGCGAACCAGGACCGACAATCTCACGCTCCCCTTCATTGATATTTTACATCAATCCTGAAATTACGTTAGGGAAAACATTTAAAATCGCACTGCACCGATGAAATATGTTGACGAGATTTGCAAGCATTGCAGATATCGAAGTGATATTGTGAATCCGCAACACGTCTCGGATTATTCAAACAGGATTGAGTGTAGGCAGTAAGAGGTGATTATGGGTGGATTTATCAAACGAAACGGAAACGATTTTGTCTTGTCGTTGTTAGCAATGAATTACAAAGTAGAGCAGTAACAATAAGAACAATGATTGTGATGCTGTGCAAATGATATTGTCAGAATATTGTCATTCATTCGTAATAATTCATGGTATCATTAATTCATTTGGATTAGTTATTTAGAGTGTATTCGACCATATAAATGGACTTCTTAAACAGAACCATTTTGATCAACGATGAAACAGTCAGCTCCTGATGAGTTGAGATTTACTACTTCTATGATTTATTGAAAGCCTGCATTAAATTCAAGAGCATATCTTCTTTTGAGAGTTTTATAAATCTTCTTTTGATGCATTTCAGGGGGTGCATTGACTGATGAAGGCAATTCAATAGATTCATTGCAGATTACACAATGACGCATTCTGACTACATTTGTATCATTTGATTACGGACTCTTCCGCAACAAGCTCATACGATTCGATAATATCGCTGTGAAAAGAATGAGAACACGACTGAAAGATTGCTGGAAAGATTGAGAGAGTGACAGAGAGGATGCGAAAAACATGGAGAAAAGCGCTATAGATGGATGAAAAGAACGAGAATCCATATTGTTTCTCGAGAAAGAATGAGATGAATATCAAAAACGCATCAAACTCGTAGAAGTTTGCTTGAGCCATCTAAGGGTTCCATGTCGGCCAAAAGTGTTCGTGATGTTAGGAGAATTAGTTCCCTTATTTAGTGTATTTGCGTGCATTAAGCGTGAACTCATGATCGGTAAAGATCCATAACTTTCATTGTTTAGAGGATTACTTTGATTATGCAAAACTAAGAGGTGATCATAAAACCGTCTTTTCCTCATTAGAAACCTTAGAAAATATGAGCAGGTCAAGTTTTCGTTGTGAATT